GACCCCAGTGACGGGCTAAGGCGGCCCGTGCGGCTGGCCCGTTCCACGCACCTCCCGTGAAGAGGCCCCCTTTACGTGGGGACGGCAGTGGCAGCCCCTGGTCCAGCCTTAAGGGCCTGTTTCCTGTGAGAAAAGCCGGGAGAGACACGGTGTGACATTGACGTGACGTGCCACGCCGGACGGTGACGGAGTTCTGGGTGGGTGCGGCTCCATCCTCCGGTCGAACGCGCCGCAACCGCACTGATTCTCCACTTCGTCTTCAAAACACGCGTCCCGTGGCCTCCGCGTGACCCCCTCCCGCAGAATAAATGATCAGTCCTCAGGGTCGCACATTTCCAACCCGGACGAGAGAGTGAATACCGTGCGATCCTTCTAGTTTTGCAAAGACGTGGCAGGGCGCCTGTGTTCGTGGCCGGTAAGCAGGCACGTAAGTGGCACCGTGATTGAAAAATGTATCAAATCAGAAAGCACGCTCCCCTCGGCGTCCACGCAGGACAGGGAGAGGCAGAGCTGGGGCCCGGGGGGCTGTGGTGAAGGCCCGCATGGGGGGAGGGGGAGGGTGGAACCCGACACAGAGCAGTCAGCGCTCCTGGACCCGCCCTGGCCCCCCGCAGTGCTCGTCCCCTGCGGGGCTGGGTTTGCTCCTCTGTTCTCGCACCTGTTGATGCTGCCGCCCATTCCTTCTGTGCACGTTCCTCCCAGTGGGTTCTCCGGGTGCCGCAGCCTGCAATTTCTGTAGGAAAAGCCATTGTTAAGAATATTATAGCCAATAAACGGTATTCAGGTAACTCCAAGCTGTGTCTCCTTCGTGACTGAGAATGGCCCCCAAATTGGGGGAACTTGCGTAGAAAAGCGTGTCCCCCCTCATCTGTAGATGCAGAAGGGAATGCTGGGACAACAAGGATCTAAGAGGGATGGTGAGCCGGGGGCCGGGGGGTGTGCACTGCAACCCCATGAACCGGGCACATGACAGGACGAGACGGAAGATGACGCCTTTTCCCACACACTCCTGGGCGCGGGGTGGGAGGGGGAGGAGGAGGGGAGCCTGGAGCGCTTTGCTGAGCAGTGCGCATGCATCGTCTCTCCGCATAGACCTCTTACCACTCATCTTATTTACAGGAGAGAGAGATCCAAAAAGCAAGCAAGCAGAAATGGAGACATTTACATGAGACTTATCCAGGATGAAAATCTAAGCATAATGGAAATCTAGTTACGGTTGTTAAAAAAAATTGCATCTATCTTCACAAAGAACCGCAGCAAACAGAAAGCAGAATAGATATACAGACTGGTAACGAGGTCTTTATATTCTTATCACCCATGACAGTGCAAGTGGGGAAAAGGTAACTGTTTAGAAGACCTCAAACATGGTTAATGTAGATAAAATTGATATGTAGCAAATGGAATACTTCAAACATACCTTCTTTCAAAGGCCTGTGGAAAATATATATATAAATATAATTTTGGACATTAAGTCACCGAGTAAACTCAAATTCCAAGGACTACAGACAGATTCTCGAGTGTAACGCACTAAAAGTAGAAAATCGGTTCTCTGCTGTGGAAATGTGACAAGTGGAAGATGAGTCGTAGATTACCCAGGAAATACCCATGAGGCCGCGGGAAGCAGCGGGCTCCGTGGCCGCCTCTCCCTCCTGAACGCCAAGGACCCACTGGACGCTCCTCCAGACCCACTGCCGTGTCCCTTCCCTGGAGACTTCGGTTTGGGGGTCTGAGATGCGGCCCAGAGGTGAGTGGAGTTTTTTGTTTTTGGGGTTTTTTTTTAAATATATTTTATTGATTTTTTTACAGGTCTGAGATGCGGCCCAGAGGTGAGTGGGGTTTTTTTTTGTTTTTTGGGGTTTTTTTAAAAATATATTTTATTGATTTTTTTACAGAGAGGAAGGGAGCAGGATAGAAAGTTAGGAACATTGATGAGAGAGAAACATCGATCAGCTGTCTCCTGCACACCCCCTACTGGGGATGTGCCCACAACCAAGGTACATGCCCCTGACCGGAATCGAACCTGGGACCCTTGAGTCCGCAGGCCGTCGCTCTATCCACTGAGCCACACCGGTCAGGGCGAGGTGAGTGTTTTAAAAGGATCTTTTCATCGGGAAAGTTGAGGAAACGCCCTATGGGACTACCAGTAGCACAGTGCTGAGGGGGATCCATAACCCTAAATCCACATGTGAATAAACAGAAAAGGAAAAAGGAGTTAACTATCCACCCTAAAAAGTTACAAAAGGAACCGAAAAAATAAATAAATAAACCGGGGGTGGGGAGGTGGGGAGGAGGAATAGAAGGAACAGATTTGTAAAAATAAAAAGTATAAATTAGCCCGGACGGCGTGGCTCAGTGGTTGAGCATCCATCTATGAGCCAGGAGGTCACGGTTCAATTCCCAGTCGGGGCACAGGCCCGGGTTGTGGGCTTGATCCCCAGTCAGGGGCGTGCAGGAGGCAGCCAATCATTGATTCTCTCTCATCATTGAAGTTTCTCTCTCTCTCTCCCTCTCCCTTCTTCTCTGAAATCAATAAAATTATTTAAATTGTTTTAAGTATAATTTAATTAGGAAAAGTAAAACTAATAAAAAGCCAGGGGTGGTTTCTTTGGGGAAATTAAAGCACAAGATAAACTACCATCTAATCTCGTTAAGGAAAAAGATAAACAGCAGATGCTCTCAGCACGTGAGCAGATAGGATCCAGAGTCCACACTAACCCAGCGATGACCTCAGCAGTACAAGGATGGTTCAATCTCTAAAACCTAGTCACCCCCGCCCGGCCAGGTGGCTCCGTCGTCAGCGCGCCATCCCACACACCAAAGGGTGGCAGGCTCCATTCCCGGGCAGGGCACAGACCCAGGTTGTGGGCTCAATCCCCGGTCAGGGTGCATGTGGGAGGCAACCAATCAGTGTTTCTCTCTCACATCAATATTTCTCTCTCTCCCTTCCTTCCTCTCTAAGGCATCTAAAATCAATAAAAACACTTTTTAGTCTAGTAATCCAAGTCACCAAATTGATAAGATTGTAGGAAAACATGCCCCAGTATGGTTATCAGAGATGCTAAAGAGACGGTTGATAAAACCAGTCTCCACCCCTGGGTTTCTAAGCATCTGAATAAGACAAGACTGGAGACCACAGGACTTGAGAGATGCCAGTGTCGTTTGCGGAGAAGTGCGTTCACACACATCCAACGGGGCCCTACAGGCAGCTGTCTGGGGCTGAGTTATGCTGCGATAACCCCTGAATATCGACATTGACGGGGGGGGGGGGCGACGGGGTGTCTGTGAAGCCCCCGCCCCGCATCCGTGCCTGAGCTCCCTACCACAGCCCTCGCTGCGCCCACTCTCTGCACTGCATGACCAGCACCACCAGCATCTCTGCTCGGGGGCTACATGTAACCCTTCTCCGGGCGGA